TCTGCCAGATTCTGCCAGATTCTGCCAGATTCTGCCAGATTCTGCCACTTTTTACCCCGGGCATTAGAATCTGACCAATTCTGTCATATTCTGACACTTTTTGACCCCGGGCATTAGAATCTGACCAATTCTGTCACATTCTAATACTTTCCTACTCTGTGCATTACAACAAGACCAATAGTGTCACATTCTAATACTTTATTACTCTGTACATTACAATATTAGCAATAGTGTTACATGATGACACAGTATAAGACATTGTATCCAACACTTCCCACTGGAGCTTGGCCGGTCCCATCCATCACGTTGCCCCGGTCAGGTCAATTTTGTGTTGCTGCCCCGCCGTGTTCCCTGTGACAGGACGTGTTCCCTGTGACAGGACACCATCACGCGCAGAGGGCGGTGGGCAGAGGGGTCACTGCAGAGCCTCACCCGCCTCCTCTTCCCCTGGCAGGTGACTACTGCAACCTCCCGCTGTACGTCAAGTCGGACGCGTTCTTCCGCAAGCCGGACGCGCACGAGCCGTGCCCGGTGGTGCCGCCGCGGGAGGCCTCCATCCGGAACCTCGCCCGGGCCTACCACGCGCAGGCCCGGCACATGACGCTGGAGCCCGGCGCCAAGCCCCTGGGGCTGCCTCCCCCGGCCTCGGCCGCAACCACCTTACCTCAGAGGACTCTCCCCATGCCCGGCACGACCGGCACCGCGGCCGCGCCCGCCGCCAGCGCCGCCCCGGCTCCCCCCGCCGCGGCTGAGCCCCCCGTCGCCGCCGCCGCCGCCGAGCCGCGGGTGCCCACGCACTCCAAAGTGGGGGGCTCCAGGGACTCGCTCCTAGAGATGAGCACGTCAGGGGTGGGCAGGTCTCAAAAACAGGGCGCCGGAGCCTACTCCAAGTCCTACACGCTGGTGTAGGGCCACGCGCCGGATGCTGCTCGTCTCCCTCCCACCCCCCCGACCCCGCGCCATTTATATTTAATTAACAAACTTGTACATAACGAACTCTTTTGTATAAAAATGAAGCTATTTTCTTCTTCTCCGAACAGAAAAAGAAACCAGGGCACAAAGAATTTGATGTTACAGATTTAAAAATATAATATATATGTAAACATATATATATATTTCACATCATTTTGAAAGGGGCACAAGGAAAGACTCAGCGACTTTTTTTTTTTTTTTTCTCTCCCTGATCTTGTCGGTGGTTTTAAAAAGGAACGTCTCCGAGACATTGCATGCTATTTTACTGTTCTGAAAACAGCAGGAGTTGCTTCAATTTGCAAATGCTTATGTGTTAATACCTTTTTCTATGAAAAAAAACCCAGCGCTGTGTGCAATAAAGGTTATGTTTATACGCGGGCGTTTGTTAAGTGAGCAGGGAATTAAGGCAGAGCAGGGCAGGAGGAGGGAGAGGCACAGCCCAGGGCAGCCAACATACAGAAATACTAAGACATGGGATTAAATATTAAGGAATACTAAGAAAAGGGATTAAATATTAAGGAATACTAAGGCACTTACCAACCTGCAGAGCCGTGGGGCAGGAGGAGGGTCAGGGATGGGAGCAGGGTCCTGAGTGGGACAGCCCAGCCACGGCCAGACTGTGCCACAGTACCAAGTAGAACTTCACCTTCCTGAGGAGCTTCTGGTGCTATTCGAGGTCTAAATAACTAACTGCACTTTCATTTCCTTATTTTCTGTAATTTATAAGCTCAAGTTTTCATCAGTTCTCCATCCATGCTTGTTACCCACTGGTTCCAGCTTTTTCCTTGCAGATTCACTTCCTATTTTAACTCAAACCAGCAGTTGGAGCATCTATACACAGGTTTGTACCATTCTATTTTTTTTTCCCTCTCTTTACAGGGTTTAATTCATCAGTTATAATCATGTGCTGCAGAGGTAATTTTTTCAATATCTCTTGATTATTTTTTTTAATGTAATACTCAAAGAAAAATTACATGGAAATACAGTGACTGGTGCTACTGGTGACATTACCTGCAGTCTCCACATGGAGCTGTCCCCTTCCCTGTTGGCACAGTGGTCAGCAGATCCTCCTTTGCCATCTGGTTCTTCCTAACTAAGGTAACTCCTGAAATCCTGCAGAGCTGGAAGCACCTCGGCAAGAGCCTGGCAGCTGTTCACCCCTGGGCTCGAGAAACAAGCTGTTAAGACAATTTCTTATGCCCATTTTTTATAGTTTTTGGCCATTATTCAGGTACAACTCGGAGCCAACCTCTGCCAAGGAGCATCTCGGATGGAGAGGGGCACCTTCCCCATCCAGGCTGGTGTGGAGGCATCAGGGATGATGCCCAAATGCCAGGGCTGCTATTTCCCCCCTCATGTTCTTGCACCAACCTCCTTATTGACCCCTGTACAGCTTTTCTATTAATTCAATTTTAACAGCTCTCTGGAGACAAAACCATGGTAAGTTTCCAACTTAGCATGAAGGAATACACAGATTTTGTACTGTGCTTATACAGAGAACACGAGCACAGCAGCTGAATGGGGTCAGTCAGGCAACCCACAGGTCCCCACAGCAACCTGTCCAAAGGCAGGTCTGTCCCACACTGGCCAGTGTTTGCCATCAACCAGGGGAAACCAGTCCTGCCCATTCTGTCTCTCCCCAAGAGCAGTGGAGAGTGGTGACCAGCAAACCAGAATTTCTCAAGCATTTTTGTAAGGATTTCAAAACCAGTTCAGAGCACATCAGAGACTTATAAACCTTTACATAGCACAGATTAAAGGAAAAAAAAAAAGGCAAGCGCCCAGCCCCATCTTAAAGCAGGGTCAGCACCAAGGCAGCACCTCCAAAAATGCCAATACCAGGCTCAGAATAGAAATAGAAGAGAAATTAGAATTAGAAATAGAAAAGGCAAGCGTGTTCAGCTGTAAGAGTAAGTAGATTAGCAAGATAAAAAGCAGGACAGATTAACAGAGATTAATAGGTCTTTATTGGAATTGGCTAGTACAGATTTCCTTCTACATCTTAGCAAGGATTCTCCCCCTTCCCTTCCCCAGCAGGCACAAGCCCTGGCCTTGCACAGTTTAACAGAGCCCAAGTTTCCAGCACTCACCCACGAGACCCCAACACCCCCCTGCTCCCAGTGAGCCCACTGCCCTTTGCCACAGCAGGATTTGCAGGAGAACAGTGAATTCAAGCCACACCAGCCACACCAACTCTGCCTTCAACAGCAAACAGACAAAAAGCCCTCAAGCTCAGAAATCCAGAGTTTCCTTTCAGGTCTGCTTTACCAGCTGCCTTGCACAGCATTCCAGGCAGAGCCCAGGTTACCTGCCACACACACCTCCTGGTGCCAGCCAGCCCAGACTGCCCCCAGCACCCCAGTGACCAACCCAGTGTCACCAGCCCTGCTCCAGAGGAGAGCCACGAGCACTGGATGCCACCACAGCCAAGCACAGGCAGAGTCCAGACACCCAACACCACCCCTCCCAAGCCAAAGGTAAGTAGGGGCAGCTGGGGACAGAGCCCTGGTAAGGAGGGCTGAGGGTGATTATGGCTGGAGAGGAAAACAAAGGGCTCTTGGGGCACAGCTCAGCAGCTCTGCACAGAAACCCCAACAACAGACCCAGCAAAGCAGCACTGGAGCCCACGCTCAGGGCTCTGAGCCAGCAGCCCCTCCATGCCCTGCTCCTTTCCCTGGATCCCCCAGTCCCCCCTCACCCCCCTGCTCACAGCAAATCTCCTGTTTCTCTGCTGGCCCAGAGCTCTGTGCTTTCATATTCCCTCTTTCAAGCTGCAAACAGCAGCACTCAGAAATAGAGACACTCAGACCCAAGACTCTCCTGGGGTCCTGTCCCTGCCTGACCAGGAGCAGGTCTCTGTTCAGCTTTGCTGCACCAAAACACCAGACCAAGGGGCTGGGTGGGCTCTAACCCAAACACCAGCGTTACCACAGGGCTGCCTCAGGAAGAAAAGCAGATTCAGCCTCAGGAGACAGAGTCCCACCCCACACCTGCTCTGGCACCCCAACCAGTTGTCCCCAAGAAAAGGTAAGATCAGCTCACAGCTCAGCTCCTGGGTTGCCTGCAGCACGTCCCCTCGGTGACATTCCCACTCCAGGCTGGCTCCTGGACACTGTGCTGGCACCTCTGCCAGCCATCCACCCACAGCAGAGGACAAAGGCAGTCGTTCCACCCAACTCCAGAGGCAGAGTGGAGGAGGCAGAGGCGCAGGGGAGGGGCAGTGCTGAGTGAAACAAGCCCCAGCTGGGCAGAGACCAGCCAGCACAACCACCTTCAGCTGTGCAGGGCCCCACTGCCACCCACACAGCTGCTGGGACTCACTCATCGTGGCCCAAGGGCTGGCCAAGGACAGGCCTGCAGCATCACCCCCTGTTCCAAGGCCCTCAACAGCCCCTCTCCAGCTGCACCCTGGCCCAGGAGGCAAATGCTGTCTGGGGAAGGACTGAGCAGGACAGAGAGCTCGCTCTGAGCAGCGACCAACACAAGGGCAGAGAACCTACAGCTGCACCAAGGGGGTGCAGGGGTAGGTTCAGGGGCAGGTTCACAGTCACCACAGCCCCAAATGTCTCTGGGGTACAGAACAGACAAACAGGAGGGACAGTGCAGGGCACGGGTGCCTGATGTATCTACTTCTTTTCCTGCTTCTGCTGCTGGTACCTCCTGAAGTGGGTCTGGATGGTGATGGCTGCCCTCTCCGAAGGGTCGCTGAAGAACTTGCTCTCCTTGCTGGCATCAGGGGTCACATCACCTGGGGGGACAACAGAGCACCACAGTGAGCACAGGCAGTGCCAGTGCCCTGAACAGGCTGCATAGAGCAGGGCAGGGCTCTGGCATCCCCACCACAGGGTCAGTGGCCTCCCCAGGTTCCCAGACAGGACATCTTTCCTCGGTGGGGAAGTCAAAGAGGCTGGAGAATTCAGTGTGAAACCACAACTCCTCTGGCTCACAGAGACACCTCCAGGGCACAGGGAGCAGGGAACAAGAGGCAAAGTAAAGCCCAGCCTCCCTGGCAGCACTAAGCCCTCTATTTACACAGCTCCACTCCCCAAAGACAGCAGCTTCCCCACGTTTAATCACCACGTATGATGCTCACTTACTTTCGCACACACAAATAAGATTAGAAAAAAAGCCCGGCACTGTACAGCAATAAAGCTCTCATGCTGACAAATGGGAGCCCTCCCCACTCCTGCTTAATGTGGCATTAGGGAAGTATTGTGAAATTCAACAGGAACTGCATCAAAGCCACTCAGCAGTGCTCCTCTAAGCCAGTGTGTCACTGCTAAGCACCCCCCGAACAGCCATCAGGAATCCTGGGGCCAGATGCTGCTGTATAAACTCACTGCTGTCACCTGAACCCATTTCCCTTCACAGCCTAAAAGAAATTGCCAAGTAAAAAGATAAATAAGAGAAGTCCACGTTGGGAAGGGGTTCCCTCCTGCCCTGCTTAACAAGACACAGCATCAGCTGTAAATCCTGCACAGTGCACAGGTCCAAGGGCAGAGGCTGAGGACCATGGGGCGGGTACTGCAGTGCCTGGCAGGAGGAGCCCTGGCTCTGCCCAGAGCTCCACAGGAAACACTCCTGCCCAAGGAGCTCAGCCACTGTCTGCCCGGGGACCTGCACCCACTGCAGGGCAGTGAGACCCCCAAAGCAGTGACCAGAGCCCCTGGGCCATCCAGGAGGGATGTCACAGCAGCAGCACCCCCAGCCCCCACTGCCCCTTATCCGATTGGCACCAAGAATAGAACTGCTCAAAATCCTCTTTGCTGAGCCCTTGGCTTCAGCAGAGGGGCAGAGCCTGGGAGACCAGAGCAAGGAGGAAAGGGGGCTGAATTCCAGGAGGGTTTACCAGAACAAGGAGAAGAGGAAGAGGGGCTGTTTTGTGGGATAGTGTGAGTTCCCCCTCAGTGTGACCCCATGGGGAGTCAGTGAGGCAGGTTTCACAGGAAGAGGGAAGAAGGGATTTGCACAGCCACACATGTACTGTTAAATATTCAGTTATGCATCCCTGGGACCTTCACTGGCTGATACTACACACATTAACAAATATCTCACCATTAAATATCATTTAATAATGTCACAGGGACAGATTTTTGGAAGCAGAAAGACAGCAAGAAGGATGCAGGTGCTGCTCTCCTGCTGCATCCACAGTCCCAGCCCTGAGCTTCCCCCATTACCTGGCCTGTTTTTTTTTTAATGCTTCTCTGCCTGCCCCATACTCACCTTTGTCTCCAGAAAGTGAGTAGACGCTGTTGTGCCGAGAGCTCCTGCCTCTCTAGAAAGGTAGAGAAGAAAACTAAGAGTTAGTTGTATCCCAGGCAGAGGCAGTGAGGACAGTCCCTTTCAGGCCAGCTGGGAATCTCTGAAAGGGACAGGACCAGCCCCACCAAGCTTTCCACTGTCCATTCCCTTTGGGAAACTGGAACATGATTACTGTTGTTCCCTTAAAGAGCACTGATTAATTAATCTACATTTGTGAAAAGACCTCCAAGGAGAGGCAGGAAGGAATTTTGTATCCAGACTCAGAGCTGTGAAATGTGCCAGTACACCTTGGAATGGATGTTGGCACAGATTATCCTCACTGGATCTGCATTTCAAACCAGCAAGGAGACAGGCTTGCTGGGTTTGCTTTCCCCATTCCAGCCCCTACACTGTGAACCTGCAGCTCCTGGGATGCCAGATCTGCTGGGGGATATTTCCATTCCTAAAAATAAGCTTGAATTTGCCTACAAATACCTCTCCTGCATTTTTCATCTTATCCCACCTCCTGACATCACCTTATTTTCCGTCTTTCGGGGGGAAAGAGGAAAAAAACCTCTCCCCCTTGCCCACGCCTTCTGCTCTGCAGCAGGCAGTGCCACCCCCCGAGGCAGCTGCCCTGGTGGTGCCCCCAGCCCTCACCTCGCTGTCCCGGCTGGTTCGGCGGCTCTGGGACACGCACTGGATCTGCCAGGGCAGGGGCTGGTACACCAGGTAAGGCAGGGGCTCCTCACGGAACAGGTTGGTCTCCAGCTGCACACACAAAAGGGTTTGCAGGAGGTAAGGGGACAGCAGAGAAAAGGGGAAGAGCAACAGAAATTGCTGCTCCTCCACGCGCATCACCAGCGACCAGAACCCTTCCTGGCACCACCCTGATGAGCAGCTCATCGGGAGGTCGTGGGGCTGCAGAGCCCACGGGGCTCCCAAACCTCCCAGCCAGGGTTTGAGCAGGCACAGAAGGCCGTTCCCACCAGGATTAAGTGGAGACCACTGCCTCCTCTCCCTGTCCCCAGGGAGAGCAGCCCTAGACAGGGGAGAAATAAAAGGGAAGCAATAAATGCCAGCTGGACTCACCTGTCTGACCACCCTCACCACAAAGAACAGCGCTGTCATCAGGGTGCCCAGCATGGCCGGGGTGTCCAGGGGCTCCCTCTGTCCTGGGAAGGCACAGCTCTGGGAGCAGAGCACGGTGATGTCCGAGCAGCCAGGGACTGAAATGTCCCTCCTTGGGCGGGCAGAGGCCAAGCCCTTAATGAGCTTATGGCTCGAGCTCCTCCTGGTGAAGTAATTGAGCTCTGCCCTTTTAACTTCTAATCGCCGGGTTTCTCCAGCAGACACTCCGCTGGCATTCCAGGAAAAGCAAATCCCCTTCTCCACGTACACAGGCAGGGCAGTGAGCACGGACACACACGCACAGCCCAGCCCCAGGCTGGGCTCAGATCACAGCAAAACCCCCACACCAGGAGGCTCTCACAGCCCAGACAGGACTTGGGATGTCTCAGAGCTGCCCTGTGCTCTTTGCAGGAACTGGGGCAAGTCAAGGCTTGGTGGTGGTCAGTTTTCTTTTTAAGGACAAAACTATCAGCCTCCACTTCTGCATGACCAGCTGATCCACACACTGTGCCTCACCAGTCCTCCAGCTCCCAGGGGTGGCTGGTAGGAAGCCACGAGGGGACAGGAACAAGCCATGGGAAGAGAGAAGAACATCACCAATCCTCCCTAATTCCTAGGGAGAGCATTACTCAGCAATCCCACCACAGGATCCCAGAAGCACCCAGTGCACTGCTGGGGGAATTCCTGGCTGCTCCCAAATACGTGGGAAATCAGCAGCCTCAGCCAATCTCCAGTTACACAATTTTAACAGATCCCAAGGTGCCAGAGAGAAGCTCCAGCACAACACCTTGTCTTGGTCTTGTAGTTTTGGTTTTTAGCTTTTTCTGTCCCTGCATTTGCTACCCCGACCAGATGGTTAAAAGAATAATGGTAATAAGGCCACGATGAGCTGGAGTGGTCTTGGAAACTGCCAGAAATGACCTTGACAAGACAAAATATGAGACTGCCCAGAGACAAGCAAGGGAAAGATGTGAGAGGCATGTACAGCTGGATACCCAGAGCTACAACAAAACAGAGCTACAACCACCACCATCACACAAAACAGGCTCATGTTGATTTAATTTTGTACAAAACCAGATACAGCTGCTATCCCAGGTTTTAACAGGAAAAAGGAACATGTTTCAAACAGAGTTATTGTTAAAAAAAACTGGCATTTCTCTGCAGCATTAATCCATGCTTCTCCCAACACACAGAGTGGACTCAGTGATAATGGCTTTGGCCACAGTGAGCCAGAACCATGGAGTGCCTTCTAAAACATCTGACTGGAAGGATTGCCATGTTTCCCCCAGTATCCAGGAAACTAAGAGCAAAATCCCTACAGACAGGGGTTGGTGCAATCCGACAGCAGATGGGAAACCCGTGTTTTGATCCCTCCCTTCCTAGAGAGGACTAAGGCTGGCTGAGTAATTACAAAAATTCTAAGAAAATCAGCAAAAAAAAAAAAGTAAAATAAAATATACAGACATTCTTAAGAGTTTTAAAATTATGTTCATCAAAAATATATTTCTATTTGCATGTAAACATCCCCCTGCCATGCTCACGGCGTGTGCCAGCACACACCACCCAGGAGCAGAGCAGGAGGGGGCTGTGCATCATCACCCACCCAAGGAGCACACACAGCACGGGGGGTGAGGGGCATCTCAGGAGAAATGGCTTTGAAGATCATTTTTCACAGATGGGATCCCTTGAAGTGCAGGCGTCCTCACCAGGCAAAATGGCAAGTGGCTCGGCATCTTTTTAGGGCATAAAATATTTAGAGTCAGCTTGGAGAAAATACTGACAAACAGACAACCAAACACCACGTTCCTGCTCAGCAGCACGAAATCCTGACCCCTCCCCACCAAGCAGAGCAGCACCATCTGCCCCCTCCCAGCTCGTGCATCCCAGGGGTTGGGATACACTCTGGACACGGCCTTTCCCAAGGAACACAACTGCAGCCACCCAGTGAGCAAAGCCACGAGCCACCATCTCCAGGGGCTGCTCACCCCCACCCCTCAGCCAGCTTCCCAACCTTCAGAGCCCGTCCCACAACCCTCCTCTGCCAGGATCCCTGTGGAGCTGCTGCAGGAGCAGCCAGGCCAGGCTCAGGCTGGATGCCCAGGGCTCCCCAGCCCTGTCCAGGGAAGCAGAGCCCAGCTGCTAAGCTGAGCCCTGGATCCCTCTCCCAGGGCATGGAAGGACGCAGGTGGGGCTCTGTCTCGACATTCACAGCAGACTGAGCTCCTCAGCAGTGCCTGCACCAGCAGACACTCCTCACATTCCCCTGCCATCCCTGCTCCCGTTGGCACATCCATGGCACAGGAACAGAGCTCCCACAGCTGCCTGGCTGAGCAGCTCTGGCCAGTCTGGCACAGAGAGGAGCAGGGGGACTGCTTGTCCAGCGCTGCCATGGAGAGCCACTCCTGGCTCAGTTCCTGTTGCTTCCACCCCAAACAAGCAGAACATTCCCCAAGAGCCAGAATCTGTCATTCCCTGATTTTGTCCCCAGACTCTGCACCATTCCACTGCTCCTTCTCCCCGCTCACACGTGCCACAGCCCAGCTGACACGGCCCACCTGCCAGGGAGCATTTGCTGGGCATCGGTGCAGGCTCATTTCCTGACACATTTCCTCCAGCACAGTCTCAGCTGGATTCAAATCCTCCCCCTTGACCAGTTACTCAAAGTCCTCCATGATTCACAGCTCTGCCTCACCACTGCTAGAATACTAATGAGGGAAATGTTGATTTATCGAAGCCCTGATATGTCACCGCTGGATTAAACAGTCTATAAAGTATATTTGGACACATTACAGGATTAGAAGAATCCACCTGGGAAGTTTGCTTCCTCCTTCCTCCACTCTCTTGCAAAGAGACTTGTTTTCAAGGACACACAGACACAGCAGTGGTGGCTGGGTGGGCATCACTGAGACCCAGCACACCACAGGGAGACCCCCACCATCTCTCCAGAAAAAATCCCACCTTTTAGTAGTGGTACACCTTAATTTGCCTGTTTTCATCCATGCCCAGCTGGACGAGGCTGGGGCTGGCGCTGCTGGTCGGGGGCTTCTGTGCACGTGGGGAGAGAGGTCTGGCAGTCGGGTGAAGGAAAAGCCTGGCTTAGAGCAGGAATTAGCACAGCTGAGCACAGCCAGACAGGGCAGGTACTGAGGTACAGAGCCAGCCTTGTGCACACATGCTGAATTTAGCCTGCTGCATCCCAGTCAAATGGAATTAAAGGGGGATTAGGGAATTCAGAGGTGCACCGGGCTCAGGACAGCACAGAGGCCCCAGGGATTTGCTGCTTATCAGCGAACACTGGAAGAGACACCAACGTACCACACAGCCTGGAAACATCCCTGCTAACAGCACAGAGAGGTCTTGCCCTCTGGATCCAACCTCATGCTGCAAGATGCCTTGAAATGGAGCTGGAGAAGAGCTCCAGGGGGAGCCCAGCCCTTGTGGCCACCCCCATGTGCCAGGTCCACCTGTCTCCAGGTGCCCTCACTTCATCCTGGGCTGCTCAGCAGGGCCTGCCCATGGTAGACCCCCTTCTTCCCCACCACCTCCTCCACTCTAAAAAATGTGAACCAAACAGTGCAAATTCTCACATTACCAGCTCTAACTGCTCCTTTAAGGCAGAGCAGTGTCCCTAAAGAGCATCACAAGCAGGGAGAGGAAGGGAGGAGAATTCCTCAGTCAGGTACAGCTCAAGGAGCAGCAAACAGGTTGCTCATGCTCTAACTGCTGAACACCACATTCCTCTGCAGAACCAGACACCAAAGTAAAAATTGCTGTTCAATGCTTTGGTGCTCCCAATTCACTCACCTCCTCCTGCCTGTTGCAGGGAGCAGGAACACAATTAAAGGCCAGACCCAGGCAAAGGATACGCTTTTGAGTCCTTCCTGAAGCTTTTCAGCCACTTCTTGTTGCTCTCGATCATTCCTTCGATGTTCATCTTCCCCGGCTCACGGAACCTGGAATGCTGGAACTGCCGGATTTGTTCACTGGGGAAGGTGAGAGAGAGTGAGAGGGTGGGTGGGAAAAAGAGGTCTGGGCAGAACAGATGAGAAAGTGATGGGTTGTTACAGAAGGAGCCACTGTTACCAAAAAGCCACCTTCTCACCTGAGCATGTGGCAGTGAACAGCTAATATTATTTTTAATATGTAATTTGTTATTATTATTTTCAATATGTCATGGCTAGGCTTCGAGAACAAAGATTTGGGATTTTTAATATGTAACATGTTGTTATTAACATGTAATTTACAATTTGTTATCTACTTGCTATGTATGTGATCCAATAATCATCCCAGAGAAATGACAGCAGCACAGTGGAACATCTCAAGGAATAAGACCCTTACTCTGCAGGTATGTATCCCAGCTTGTTGTCCTGAGGCTTGCGGTTCCCACTGAGCAATGGGATCCCATCTGGAAAACAGACATTAAATACAGACTTCACCAAAATCAACATTCCTTATCCCATTAGCACCCTTCCTATCAGCAGCTCCAGTGCATCTGCCCTTCCAGCATTGGAAGGGTGAGGCAGCCAGAACTTGCAGGGCTGAGAAATCAAAAGCTGAAGGCAAGGAAGAAGAACAGAATAAGGACAGGAGACTCACCTGGGAAATACCTGTGCCATTTCTCTGCCAGCATGTTGTCCACTGACCGCCCTGAGATGGAGACACCAGAGTTCATCCCACTGTTCCAGGCCCACCTGTCGGTGGGAGACACCCTGGAAATATCCCCCAGGGAGCTGCCTGCCTGCAGGCCTGCCAGGGAGGAATATGTGGACAGAGGGATGCCATCACGGGCTGTTGAGGCGAAGAGAGGAGTGTGGTGATGGCTCAGGGAGTCCAGGACCCCCAGGACCCCATTCAGCTCGCTGGTGATACACTGCAGAGAGTCCCTCAAGCGCTGGATCTTGTCCAGCTGGGGGACAGGCCATAAATCCGTCCTCAAATCAACTGAAGAAAGAGAGGAGAAAAAAGGGGTCGCAGGCAAGTGTTAATGAAAGCAGCCTTTGTGCAAGCAACCCAACCCTCCTGCCCCTCCTCAACTCCAGCTACAGGCAACTGCAGGCCAACCAAAAGCACATGCAGCAGAGAGGGAATTGCCTCTCCTGCCCTGGATGTGAGGAAGGGGAAACCCAGACTCCTGCAGAAGAGCAATACAGCTCTGCAGCAGCAGAGGGAAGAGCTGCAACCAGATTTTATAATGCACAGAGATTTCAAGGGCAAGTTCGTGCACAGTCTCCATCCCTCTTATCTGCCACCACAGGCAGGAAACAAGTTTTTCCAATCAAGTTTCATGCACAGAGCAGTCTCAACCATGGGGACCAGACCTGCCTTAGACACCACTGAGCATAAGTGAGAACATCACCAGAGAGGTGAGAGGCAAAGCCAGAACAGGTCTAGAGCCTCACAGGTGGGCACAGCACACCGAGCCAGGCAGGCACTTACATTTAGGCTGACACAGTTCTCCAATGGATGCGCTCTCTGTGTCCTCTGAGTCGCTCAGATCAAAAGTCACCACCTTCTTGCATGCAGCACTCTTCAGTGTATCCTCATCTGAGAGCTGCTCAGGAGGAAAACAAAGCAACAAAACCTGCTGTATCATCCCCGAAACAAAAAAGCTGCTGGAAATCTGCCTACAGCTTGTCTACTCAGTCAGGCACAGGTCAAGTGAAGGCAAACTCATCTTCAGTCCCTGACAGCAAAAACTGAACATCAGGAGACTGCTCAGGCTCTGGAAGTGTGAGAGGCCAAATCCAAAAGCCCTGTGAACTGGCCCTTCTAGACAGGAGTCAACGTGTTTTGTGCTTTAAATAAGCCTCAGAACTCTTGCAGGGCTGGGTTCCCTCTTTGCACCATCCAAAGTCTGTGCTCTTGCATCTGCTGCTGCCCTGCCCAAGGCCACGTGGTCCCAGGCAGAGCCAAAGACATTCCAAGGCTTGCCATGATCAGGAGAGCAGACTCCATCCCAGACCTTGTTTTCTCTAGGCTCTTTTCCAGGCTGCTCTCTGCAGCCACACACTCAACAGTCTCCTGTGATCTCACAGAAAGTGTTTCAAAATCCAGCTCTGCTGGCAAACTCCAGTCTCTGGCCACCAGCTAAAGGGACCACCAGCCCCTCAGGGCCTCCAGCCTGGGGGAGGAGGCCAAGAGCTCTGGGCAGGGGGAATGCAGCTGGGAAGACCCTGGGAGTGATGCTGGTGTTCACCTCCTCCAGCAGTGAAGACTCCAGCTGGCTGAGCTTCTCCTCCTTCTTCTGCAGCAGCACCTGCCCTTTCTGCATGGCCGACTTCATCTTGTCCAAGTGCTTTGCCTCCTGCAGGGGATCAAGAGCCAGGCGAGGAGGGAAATTAAACCAGAATGACAGGAAATGATCTGTGTCAGCAGTCAGGGTGACTTTCATTATCTCAATCTGCTCAGCACAGGAAATGATGATGCTGGAGTGAAACTGCCCCCGAGTCCTCGAGAGCTCGGGAAGTGGTGTGGACAGAGAGCAGAGCACGTGGCTCAAAGCCCAAGGAAAAGAAGGTTTTACTCCCAAACCCCACTTCCAACAGGGTCACCACACCTGTAGAGCCAGGAATTGATCCCAGGGCTGTGGGATTGTTTGTGCAGCCACAGCATCCACCCCCTGTGCAGGAGCTCAGGGCTCACTCACCTCCTCCAGGTTCTGGCGCATGCCCTCCAGGAGCTGGGAGCTGTGGGGATCCTGCAGTGCCTCCTGGGCCTTCTGCAGGTCCTGGCGCCACTGCACCCTCGCAGCCTTCAGCGCCGAGTGCCTCTTCCTCATGGAGCGGGTCTGGTGCAGCAGGAATTCCTTGGCATTCCGGAGGGAGGCCCCTTCTGCAGAGATGTAGCTCCGGACACTGGAGCAGAGAGGCAGGTGTGAGTCCTGTGCCCTCCTGCATGCCCCACACAGCACCTCCCAAAAACCAGGCTGTCAGTGCACCGTGTGTAAATCCAAGCTAAAGCATTTGCTTGGAAAAGCAGAGCGAAAAGAAAGGATTTCTGGCACGTGGATACTCACGGATCACACTGGAAGTCGCTCTCCTCGTGGCTCTGAGAGGCTGGGGAAGCAGTTTCTCTGGATGAGTGCTGAGGAGGTAAAGCATTTCAGAAATTAAGAAATATGTATGGGAAACAGAACTCCAGGGCTCCTGTAAGAATTCAATTAGGAGAGAAAACTTGGAATGACACCACCATGGTACTGCCCAGATCCAAAAACAGTGCCTGGGATGTTCTTCATGTGATTTTTTGAAGGTGAGACAGACATTTCCATTCCAACTCAAGCCCTGCTTTTGACTCCAGTATCCCACACTCCTCTCCACCCACTAATAACAGATAGAAATCAGCAAATACTACTGAACACAGTGGCAAAGAGAAATGCATCCCCTCAAATGATTTCACACAGAAGGAACAAAAGTTGGGATTTTCAAGAGAGTTACAGCCTCAGATCTCACAAAGCAAACACCTTCAGTCTGCTTTACTCACAGCTTGAGTACTTTCCCTCAGGTCTTCAATCCGGAGCTCAGCTTGCTTTCTTGGAGACTCCACACTCTCTTCTGCCTCCAGTTCTTTCAGAGTGTCCTGCTTGCTCCTGACTGCTTCCTCCAGCTCACTGCCACAGGAAAGGCAACAGTGGAGGCACTTGATTAGCCTGCAGTCCATCCTGGCTGCAGTGGTGTCCAGATTCCAGGAGGGAAAGGGCCACAGGTGTGTGAGACAGCACCAGAGTTAGTTCTGTGCCAATCATAACCCCTGGCTGGGCAGGGAAACTGCTTCCCACCCTTCCCCAGCAGCTCAGCCACCTCAGGAAAGTCTCTGCATTTCAGTGCCCCTCTCACAGCACCTCACTAACCACACAAGGCAGGTGTGGAGGAGACAAACAAACCTGAGGAGCAGAGGTAAAGGAGCAAATTCCCACCCTGAGCTACTGACAGGGTGGGAAACTGCTCCTACACACCCGATGCGCTTCTGCAGCCTCTGGCTCCGGGTCTGCAGCAGGTCCACCTGGGCCTCCAGCTCAGCCTTCTGGTCCTGCAGCTCCTGCAGAGACTTCCTGAGCTGCCGGACGGACTCGAGGAGGCTGCCGTGCTCCCTCCTGCTCTCCTCCAGGCGCAGCTGAGAGGTCAAAGCAGCTTCCTGGAAGAAAACAAAAAAAAATCCCTCGTGGTCGTTTCCCCAAACCCAAAATAAGAGGCACACACACCACACTGGGGTTATGGCTCACAGGGGTCCAGAGCTGCACACACACACACACACACCAGTCCTGGAAAAGCAGGACTGTCTCTTTTCTTTGGGAAACAGCTCGGAGTTAATCCACCTCCCAGCAGGATGGCACTCCAGACTGGGGCAGGGAGGGATTTTCAGCCTCACAGTTTAGAAGTAATGGTTTCTTTTTTTTTAAAGCCACAGTTTCAGCGTGGTGCCCTCAGCCCCAGCAGCAGCACAGCCCCTGTCCAGAGCTCAGGCATACATACATCCCTTTCCAGCTGTGTCCTCCTGTCCTCATCCAGCAGCTGCTGCCTTTTCCTTCGCAGGTCCTCCTCCTGGGCACAGGTCAGAAAGCAGGTGAGTGTCAGAGCCAGGAGACTGAGCACCACCTCAAGGACAGACCTCAGACCCAAGTTTCAAAACACCCAAGGACTGTTGTCAGATTTGCTTCATGATCCCTCTGCCCCTCTCACAGTCACTCACTATCCCCCAAAGCGCTGAGCAAACCCACAGCTCAGGCTTTCACTGCAAACACCAGCCCTGAGGCTGCACCACCAGGAATGCTTAGCCCTGTGATGGAAGCTGTACCTGCAACTGGGACAGCAGCAGAAGCCCTGGCTGAGCATTTCTGACCAGTTCCCCACGAGGAAGCAGCCAAAGGACTGGCACAGGTAAGGGAACCCCTGTGAGCCCACCAGGCCGACTCACCTGGCTGAGGAGCTGCTCTGATCTGGCCTGGAGGCTCTTTGCACGTATTTCAAGCTCGTTCTCCGCATCCTGGATTTTTCTTTCCTGCACGGAGACACTGAGTTAAAGAGAGAATGGTACAAATTCCTCCCTCCCCTGGCAGAGCTCTGCCACAGGGGGAACAACACGGGCTGGGAAGCATGACCTCTTAGTTATGTCAGCCCCCCTGGGCTGTGGAGGGCAGCAGGGGCACGAGGTGTGGGGTACCCTGGGCACCCCCAAGCAGCAGAGGGGTGCCCCTCACCTTCTCCCTGTGCCTGTGCTTCAGGTCAGTGAGCCTCCCCTCCAGCTCCTCCTGCAGAGCCTTCACCTGGGCGTTGTGGGACTGCCAGAGCTGCAGGGTCTCGCTCTGCACCCTCTCCAGCAGCTCTGACCTCCGCCTGCGCTCCTGAGGGGGGTGAGGAAGGGCCCTCAGTGCAGCACAGGGCTCTCCACGAGTGAACAGACACAGGGGACACTCTCTGGAGAGCGGTACCTCCTCCTCAAACTGCTCCTTAATCCGGGCTAAGGCCTCCCGGTGCTCCTGTCTCATCCTCTCCATCCTCCTCTCGTGGTCTCTTTCCACCTCCTGCCGTTTCTCGCCCATGAGCTCGCTGAGCTGCGGGGATGAAAGGGGAAGATGTTCCCTTTGAACGACAGCATTGCATGACAAGAGCCCCCCACGATTCCACCTCCCATGTGAGCCCAAGGATTGAAATCCAGAGTGTGATCAGGAGAGCACAAAGGCTTCACCCCAGTGAGGTGAGATATCCTCTCCCCTAAGGCACCACTGTCAGCCCTGGGCAGGGGACCTGGGCTCTCAGACCTCACCACACCCCTCGGGAGAGGACGTGGGTGAACACTCACCTCCCGCTCGTACTCCTTCACTTGGAAGGCTTTTTGCTGCACTTTCTGATCCGCTCTCTGCAGGTCTTCACGCAGCTGAGCCTCCTGGCTGCTCCGTGCCTCTGCCAGCCGGGTTTGCAGGCTGGAAATGACCTGCCATGAAAGCCACCCACGGAGACTCGTCACCCTTCCGACAGGCTCCATTCAGTGCCCTCCTACAGGGAGCCCCGTGTGTGCAGTCTCACCACCCCCTGCCTGGAGCACGGCCAAATGCTGAGCCAGACCAGAACCACGGCGAGGAAGTAGAAAAAAAAATTAATGCCGCCTTCCCTGGTCACCTTTGGCGACAGTGTGAGGAAAAACCCAGCAATTTACATACTAAGGACACTGTCTTTACCTCATGATGCTTCTCTTCTGCTGCAGACTTCAGCTGCTGGAGTTCACCTGCAAACTGCTCCTCCAGCTCCTCTACTGCCTATGGAAACACGAGCAGAACAGTCTGGGGACAGGATGCATTTGCAATTAAATTCTATGCATAAGCATCAAAAAGAACAATGGTAACCCCCTTCCAAACTGGATCACGTACAAGGTGCCTTTACTCTCTCTGTGCTTTCCCCCTCCCAGGGGATTTCGATGGATCTCAATCATGCTGTGCTCGAAAAACTGGAAACTGCCCCATTCAAGGACTCCCCACGTCCCTGGAGGACTAAAGCTGTACCCAAAGTGGTGTTTGGAGCTGATAAAGTGGTTTCATTTAGTTCTGATCTGATAACAGAGCTCGGTTTAGCTTAGCAAGACACACAACTATCCTGCTCTTGTCTTCAAATTCAACATGGCTATTTAAATAATTGTTAGTTAATCACCATTGTAATAACAATTGGGGGAGTTCTCCCCTCCTCAGTGTGCCTCTAACAGCCCACTTGGCACCTTCCCTTTGTGCTTTAAGTGCGTCATAAACACACAGGTGCGATTTAAATCCCAACGTTTCAGCATTGCAAGGCAAGCCAGGTCAGCAGGAACAGCTCGGGGCTGACCCCGGTTTGTAACAAAGATCTCACCTTCTTCTTCTCCCTGTCTAACCTCTCCCTGACCTCGCTCAGGAACTGTTCCTTCTCTCGTTCCAGCTCCCTGATCTCTTTCTGCTGGGCTTCCTCCATTTCCAGCTTCATTTCCTCCAAGGCAAGCTGCTGCTTCCTCTCCAGGCTCTCCTTCTCCATCAGCTGCTGGGATTCCCACTCTTCCCTTAGTTTCTGCAGCGTGGCCTCCTGCTCTGCCCTGGCAGGTTTGTAACAAGGACACAGAAGTCAGGATTCAGTCCTGCCCAGTCAGGGCAGGGAAACAGCTCCAAACCTCCACTCTGAGCAGCTGCTGGTGGCGTGCAAGATCCTCCCCTCCCAGCCCAGCACAGTTTGTGTCCCCGGGGATGGCAGCAGAACTTCTCACCTCATCCTCTCCTCCTCTGCCTCGGTCTCTGAGGCGATCTTGGCTCTCAGCTTCACCAGTCTCTCAGCTCCTTCCTCTCTGACACGCAACTCTTCCTCCTCAGAAACCTTTGCCAAATCTTCTTCTGGAGCCCTGGGAGATGAGCAGCCAGAAAGAAAAGGAAAAAAGGTTCAGGAGGTTTTAATATCTTCCAGTCACCTCCCCAGGGGCCATAGCTCAGCTGCTGCTCCCACTTGGCTGTACCTGCCCAAATTATGCTCCCTCAGGGCTCCAGATCTTTCACTTCCCCCACACCTGCAGGACCTGCTGCTGGCACAGGAGATGCAGCCCCAGCATCAAACCTGAGCAGTGTGGTTTTAAAACATGCCATATAATCACAGGCTGCACTTGGTTTGGGGATTTTTTTGCAGGTAAATGAAATCAACTCTCATTAAATGGATGCAGGCTCCCAGGCAAGGCACCTGGATGCATTAGTACATCTGGAAGCTCCATATTTCCACATGACACCTTTTACTACACGTTTTCCCCTTCAGGGGCAATTTCTGCATCTTCCTTCACACCCAGACTGCACCCCCAGGACATCTCATGGCAAGATGCTGTTTCTGGTTGCTCAGCGTGCTAAGAACATAAGTATCAAGTCCACCAAAATAATACACAAGCCTCGAGAGAAAAATTCCCCCAGGGAAAGGACACAGCTCCCAGTGTTGCCCTCAGACCCTGGGTTTCACACAGCCAGCCCTTCTGCCCTGTTCCTGGAAGCCTTGTTTGGAAGTCCCCCTGTAAAACATGCAGCATCAGAGCTCCAGACAGACCCTCTGGGGTAACCTCATCTCCTCTAACGCTCCCATTTCCAGTCCTGTTACGACCATTTAGCCCAGGATTTGAACATCTGCCAGGTGGCAAAGCTCCAAGCACTGAACTGGAAACTTCTCCCAGGTTAAACATCAGAGACAAGTTCCAAAGGCTGCGTGTGCACGGAATCAGAGCTCATCTCACAGGAGGTGGGAAGATGCTCTCCTGCCAGTGTTGGAGAGCTCTTTCCTGAGGCTGCCTGTGCTCTGACAGCAGGGCACTGGCCATCCCAAGGTGTGCAGACCCTCATGCACAGGACTGTCTGAGGCCCACACTCCTCCTCCTCCCTGAGAACCTTGATCCTGCTCCCTTCCCACACCTCTGGGAAGCAGCACCACTTCCAAGGTGGTGGCTACCACAGCACAGGTCTGTGACCAGCAGCAATGAAATCCCAGCTTGGAAAGGCTCAGGGGAGGTGGAGTAAAAAAGGAAGTACCTGAGGGATTTTTCTTTTTGCTGATCAAGCTTCTCTGCTTCCTCCTCCTCCTGCCTTGTCTCCTCCTGGAATTGCTGAATTTTCTCCTCCTTTGCTTGAAATAAATGAATTTCCTCTTGCTCAAGCTCTGTCTCCACATTTTTGACTATTTCCTCCAGGGATTCTTCTGTAGGCTGGTTCAAGGATTGCTGGTGCTTGATTTCCTCCTCAGGTTGCCTACCAAAGAGAGGAAGGTCCTTTGGCAAAAGGGTGACAGAAAACGGAGTAACACAAAAGGAACAGCAACATCCCCCCCAAAGAGTATCAAAAAAAACCCCAAAAATCTCAGAACCCCTTACTCCAGAAGCCTCACTCAGGCCCACCACTGGTGGATCATCAGCTCTGACTGATAAATGACACCCAGCCCCAGCAGCACTCCTGAATAACTCGGATTTTGGCCCACCAGAGCTCACCTTGTGAGGGCAATCCTAGATCATGAAGGATCTCTAGTAGCTGCAAAGCCCTGGCCAGGCTGGCAGGCACAGGAGCAGATGCCATCAGCACCTGCTTCCAGCCCAGGGACTGGTGCTTCTGGTGGACAAGGTATTTCTCTGCAATTGCGACCTGAAGTGTGCTGGGAGTTTGCCAACTCCAGGCAACAGAAAGCCCCCAGCACTCCAAAAATTCAAACCCAGTCTGGTTCTAATTAGGTTTTTTTTTGAGACAGACAGCAGCAAAATTATAAGGTCTGAGAGAGGCTGAAGGGGAAGGAGGGGAAAATTGAGATTAGTGTATGAAGAAAAATATTCATTCTTTGCTAGTGCAAGCTGGAGCAGGAAGGTCTCACTGTGCTGTGAGACTGCCAGCATAAGGCAGAGTGACTTCTGTTCTGCCAGGAATCAAGGAAATAACAGCCCCAGTTATAGAGCCTCGAGTCAGAAGAGAAAAGGTCACTTGTGCAGCCATTAGCAAAGAGAACAAGACAGGAAGGTAGTGGGGTTCTGCAAAAATCCTGCTTCACTGGTGCTCCCCATAATGCCACCTGCACCAGGTGTCCTTTATCAGGCTGCTCTGCAGAGCAATTCAGCCACTTCCACCTTTTTAATCATGTTCTTCCTTTTGCCCCAGTTCCTGCTCCAAAGGAGATCCAGCACACACGGGTTTGCACAGCACCACAATTCCCAGCGGAACGGGGGAGACACTGCACAGGCCTCCACAGCACAGATCCTTCTCCCCCACCTTGTCCCAGGAGACACTGCCTAATTTTTCCAGTTGCATCTGCTGATGTGTCATCTGACACAGAGTGCAGAGTCAGCACAATCACAGGGACTGAGCTCCTCTATCACAGAGGAGCTGCAGCTACGGATCCACAAACACCATCGGAATCGCAGCAACAGAAGGGTGGTTCAGGCAGGAGCTCTGACCTCAGTGTTTCATTATTTCAATGCTGTTCCTGGTGGCTGTAAAATTGGGGTGACTGGCTGGGTTTTTGCTGTCCCCCCCACCTCAGCACCACTCAGCAAGTTCTGTGGGAAAGCCTTTCTCAGGGATGGCGGCACTCGCGGCCTCGCCGGCGACACCGGCACAGAGGAGGCTCTCCCAAAGAGAGAGCTCCTTCTCACCCAGAGTCCTGAGCCACAGACCCCCGGGGCTGAGCTGCTGTTCTGGCCCCCCCCAGCACAGACTGCTCACTTGGCACCCTCACAGCAGCACAGCAGCTGGGATGTGCACGGGGAGCTGTGCCGTGCCCACCAAACCACAGCTCCCGCTCACACGCGAGCCCAGTCAGCACAGGGGGGGACAAAAGGACACAAGCTGTCACAACCACAACACCAGCGACTGAAACGAAGCCCTTACGTGTCCCGTGGGGCAGACAGCTCCTCTGGATCCACCAGGCTGGCCAGAGATCCCTCCTCCCGCTCCGGGGCCGCCGCCTCCTCCCCATCAGGGTTCTCTAAACCCAAACACTCCTCTGGTGTCTCACAAGCACCGAGATCCCTCTCGCTTTTGCAGCACAAAAAGAGGGGACAGAAGGCCACGTTAGCTCAGCTCAGTCTAGTGGTTGCTGCAGGTGGACAAGGCAGGGAACAATGGGACATGCAGGTGACAGAGGTGGCACCAAGCCACGGCTGCCAACAGGACACAAACATCCAACACGGGGCTGCCAAAGCCACAGGGAAGCTCCAGGTCATTCCCACCACCTCATAGCAGACTAACAGGCAGCTGAGGATGTAACAGGTGCCAGTCTCAAAATGCTGGATGCCTTCCCTGGGTTATCCCCTCCTTTCCAGGTTCTTGGAGAACGTCCCCAAGGTACATCAGCCCTATCAGCAACACTCACACTGCTGTCCAAATTACAGATGGAAGTGTTGGCAGGCACGTTTGTATCTACAGTCCTACTTCATCTGGGAAGTACAGAAAGGAGAGACAAGGCAAGCACAAGCAGCTTTACAGGCAGAGAGGAGGAGAGGATGCTCAGCTGGCAAGCAGGTATCAAGTGATAAAGAGAATTCCTGCAGGCAGAACACGTTTTTGGGGACCCTCACACAAACAGCTCCTCCAGGAACAAGGCTGCAAATCCCATGTCACTCAGCCAATCATTAAGATGGGCTGCAGTTTCTTCTGCTCACAAGTTTTCCTGGCACAGGCAACAGCTCCTTGGTTCCCAGAGCCCTGGAGAACATGTAACTCTGCGTGGAGGCCAAGAGCTTTGACACAACTCATCTGTAAATGCCACACTGCAGCTCTCCAAGGAGGAGGGGCTCGAGGGAGCAGGGAGCTCACTGCTTAGCACAGTTTTAAACAAATCACCACAAACAGGCTGAAAACAGCTCTGCTGGACAGCTCAGTCCTCACAGTAACTGAGGGTCTGGAAGCCAGCATTCCTCTTGGGGCAACAGCTGGTGAGCTGTTCACATATCAGGATATAAAACAGCTTAATGCTGACACCTGGGCCAGGTCACCTCTGTGGTGGCCTAGAGAGAACTGTTCACATCAGAGCTGGACTATCCTGGCACCACAAAAAGGTGCCAGGCTGGCCCTGAGAGCCCTCAGGTACAGGCTCTGCCCAGGGGAGAGCTGGCAGCCCAGCAGGACCAGTGCTGAAACCAAGGGCTGACCCAGAACAGTCATCAGGCAACAGCCAATGACCACATCCTCCCTGATTCAACAGCACAGGGCCCAGCACAGTGTGAACAGGTTCAGACCCTCCTGGCAAGAGCGTGACTTTTGGAGCTTTCTAGAGCAGTCAGGGAGCTGTAAGGGAGACAGAGGAGCTGTAAGGGAGACAGAGGAGCTG